ACTCCGGGCCTCACCTGCGCATGTAGCCTCCTCCTGTCTGGTCCAAGTCCCGTTCTAATTGGTACATTTCCTCTTTCTATAGATAGATGTTTGCCTTCTTTTCCTTATGTGTTGCCACATAGTTAGACCTCTGAGCAGTTTGTTTCTTCCTGCATGTGTTTGGCTTCAGTGCTGTGTGTGTGAGAATGCATGCTGCTTTGGTCCACCAGTTGTGCTTCCCTGCAGCGCCTCATGGCAGGAATATGCCCCATTCCCTCACCCTGTTGGTGGATGTTGGGGTGGCCTCTTGTTGTCTGTTACAGCCAGTGCTGCCGTGGCCATGCTGGCTGCTGTCAGCTGGAAAACACCTCCAAGAGTGTCTGTCATGCAGACCTAGGAGTGAAATTACTGGCCCATGAGGTAGTCACCACAGAGTTTGCTTCATGAGATAATGCCAAGTTGTCTGCTAACAAGGTTCCTCCAGTTTATACTCTCCTGGTGGTAGCTGGCAATTCCTGTTGCTCTCTGTACCCTCACGGAATGACATGACGTGATCAGATTGGAAATGTTTACCTATCTGTTGGGTGAAAATTGTCTCGTTTTATTTTTTGTTTTTTAAAATATGTTTTATTGATTTTTTTACAGAGAGGAAGGGAGAGGGGGAGAGAGTTAGAAATATCGATGAGAGAGAAACATTGATCAGCTGCCTCCTGCACACCCCCTAGTGGGTATGAGCCTGCAACCAAGGCACATGCCCTAGACCGGAATCAAACCTGGGACCCTTCAATCCACAGACCAGGCCTGACACTCTAGCCATTGAGCCAAACCGGTTAGGGCTCATTGTTGTTTAAATTTGCATTTTTAATTTTGTTATTTGAAGCGTGATGAGAGAGAGGTAGTTGACTGTATCTCCAATGGCAGCTGGATTATGGGAAGTTCCCCCAACTGTGCTCAGGATGGGAAAGACAGCAGGCAGGAGGGCCCGGGGAGAGAGGAGGCTTTTCTGACCAAGCCTATCCATCCTGTCCTTCCCAGGACGTCACCCTTCAGCCTCTCAGGACTTTCCGAGTCCACGCCTTCCTCTGGAATGAGGTCACTGGAATGCCTGGGACCCAAGGAGAGGCCTGGGTTTGTGGGGCAAGCACACCAGCCTTCCGTGGGAAAGGACGGCGCCTCTCGCCCAGACTGTCTGGAAGGAAGAAAATTCCAAGCAGTCCAACCCAACTTCACATTTTCCATGTGAACCAAAGTGGGAGGGATCCTTACAGAAGCTTTTGGGGTCGGGCAGGAGGGATCATATTTTCACCTGTTCCCTGAGATCCCAATTCAACTTCGCTCCTGAAGCACCTGTGCCTGAGGCCTTTCTTCCTGGAGTGAGGCAGTGTGCAGAAGAATGGAAATTTCCACTCCCACCTGGGTGACCTCACCTCCCTGAGCATTGGTTGGCTCTTTGTCAGGAGAGGGCCATGTTCCCACGTCACAGACCAGTCACTCAGCGCCAGGGCCACCTCAATGCCTGGGACATACCAGGAGCCCCAGGAAAGGATTTTGAAACGTTGGGAGTATTTTGGAGCAGGTGGCTTAAGATTTTTTTTTTTTTAAGAGAATTTTTGTAAGAGTTTATTTGAGCTGGATACTCAAGATTGGTTTTCTTAAGTTGAGACTGTTTTCTCTCCTCTAGGCAGATATGTTTTTTAATTGATTGATGAGAGAGAGGGAAGGAGGGAGAGACGGGGAGACACATCGATTTGTTGTTTCACTTAGCTTTGTATTCTCTGGTTGATTCTTGTGTGTGCCCTGACTGGGGATTGAACCCGCAACCTTGGCAAATCGTGATGAAGCTCCAACCAACTGAGCTACCTAGCCAGGGCTCAGCAGATATTTTTAAAAGATGAAATACCCACAGTTTGGGGGAGTGGAAGGGAAACTATCACATTACAGGTTTGCTTAGCGTTTAAAAACCCATCCACAGTCATAGACTGAACCTTTCCTATAAAGCTGAGCAGAGCTCAAGGCCAGAAGGGAAGTTGGGTAGGATGATAATGACTCTTTTTTTTTTTTTTAATGTGTATTTTCATTGATTTCAAGAGGGAGGAAGAGAAAGAGAAACATCAATGATGAGAGAGAATCATTGATCAGCTGCCCCCTCCTGGGGTCCGAGCCCGCAACCCGGACATGTGTCCTGACTGGGAATCGATGCTCAACCACTGAGCCATGCCAGCCGGGCGTGACAGTGATTCTTGACGCCTCTCAGCATGTCCTGGGTGTCAAAGGCTGGCCTTGCCAGGAGCCTTGGACACTCCACAGCAGCCCTGGGAGGCAGGCAGGGTGGCCACTGTTTTGGGGGAAGAAGTCTGAGACTCAGAAAGGGTATGGGCCCTAGCTGGTCTGGCTCAGTGGATGGAGCCTCGGCCTGCGGACTGGAGGGCCCTGGGTTCCATTCTGGCCAAGGGCAGAGGCCCAGGTGGTAGGCTCGATCCCCAGGGGGTGAAGTGGCGGGCGCGTGCAGGAGGCAGCCAATCGATGATTCTCTCTCCTTGTTGATGTTTCTATCTCTTTTTCTCTGAAATCAACGAATGCTGGGAAATAAGTATCAACATCTCCCACAATTTCTTCTTTTTTTTTTTTTTTAATATATTTTATTGATTTTACACAGAGAGGAATTGAGAGGGACAGAAAGTTAGAAACGTCGATGAGAGAGAAACATCGACCAGCTGCCTCTTGCACACCCCGCACTGGGGATGTGCCCGCAACCAAGGTACATGCCCTTGACCGGAATTGAACCCGGGACCCTTCAGTCCGCAGGCCGACGCTCCATCCACTGAGCCAAACCGGTCCTGGCTATAATCATCACATTTTATTAAATGTATATACACACTTTCTGCCTTGCCAGCTCCATTCCAGGGTCCAACATGTCTTCTCTGGGCTATGAATGCTCCCAGGGCAGGGCCTATGTGCTAAGTTGACGGGAAGAAATGGAATTGATGATAGGGATTCCTGGTGGAGTTGTAGCGTTCCATGCAAGGCAGGCGGAGTGGGGGTGTGGATGGGGCTAAAGGGTCTGGGAATTCCTCTTACCAACCCCACAAACCCAGGGGCTGCCTGCCAGGCCCCACGGACTTAAGCTGCCAGTGAAGGGCCTGCACTGGTTGCCGCTGGTTTGCCTCCTGATCCTCAGTTTCAAGGTCCCCATGCCCTCAGAGCGCCCGGGCTTGCCCATGTCCCGGATACGGAAGCCCAGATTCAAGGCCAGAAGGGAAAAGAAAAAGAGTCTTTAAGATTTTCTTGCCAAAACCGGTTTGGCTCAGTGGGTAGAGCGTCGGTCTGTGGACTGAAAGGTCCCAGGTTCGATTCCGGTCAAGGGCATGTTCATTGGTTGCGGGCACATCCCCGACTAGCTGCAAGAGGCAGCTAGTCGATGTTTCTCTCTCGTCGACGTTTCTAGCTTTCTATCTCTCTCCCTTCCTCTCTGTAAAAAATCAATAAAATATATTTTTTTTAAAAAGATTTTCTTGTGACCAAATTTCCAGTTTCCATTTGGAAAGCCAAATGTATTTTTTTAAATAAATATATTTTATTGATTTTTCACAGAGAGGAAGAGAGAGGGATAGAGAGTTAGAAATATCCATGAGAGAGAATCATCAATCAGCTGCCTCTTGCACACCCCCCACTCGGGATGTGCCTTGACCAGAATCGAACCTGTGACCCTTCAGTCCGCAGGCCGACGCTCTATCCACTGAGCCAAACCGGCTTCGGCAGCCGAATGTATTTTTTCTAAATTTGAACTTTCACCGTGAAAAATATCCAGGGTTTTCATGTCTGCTAACAAAATGGTGTTTTGTTTTTTTGCCTTTTGAGGGAAGGGGCTCACTCTAGGGAATTTGGAAATTCCGTAGAATAGAAGAAAAGTCACTTCCCTCACCAATTTCTAAAGAAATACATGCTAACAATTTGGTATCTTTCCTGGCCTTTTTATTTTTTTATTTTTTCCTTCCCTCTTTTCTTTTCCCTGCTTTTCTGTGCACAGAGTTGTTTTGTTTAGTTTCCACTGAGTAAATAGAAGGATTTCTGACTCACGATTTGCAGAGCTGCTTACGCGTGCTTGTAACAAGCCTGTGATGCTTCCAACGGCGATGAGACTTTGCCCCTGGGAATCGTGGGGGTGGGGCCCCCGGCCCTCCCCCGGACACTGCGGAGAATGCCGGTTCTGCTGCACCAGGGCCGCGCTAAGCAGGGTCCTTTTCCTCCTACAGTTACTCACAAGTGTCTAACCTGTCCTTCTAGAACCTAACTCTCGACTTTTCTTCTTTTTCAAACCCCAGAACTCGGAACACGTGCCCTTCTCCATGAACTCACGGGGGCCCGTTGGTTTTGCCTTCTCGCAGCTCACGCATTCTTCGGGTCTTGGTAACGGGAATGTTTTGTCTGTTCAGGCTCGCAACCCTCAGTGGGACGGGAACCAACGCTAAGTACCTCATGATGTGTCGAGACGATCCTGGGAGCTGCCGACTGGACTTCTTCCTCTGAATCAGCTGCTATTTCTGTGTGTCTCTCGTTTTCAAAGCTCCCCCAGAGACAACCCGAAATCCCCTATGGCCTCAGAGTAGGATGGGGGAGGGGTTCTGAGCTCCTCATCCAACATGTCTATCTCACAGGCCTCGGAAGGAGCCACAACGCCGAAGGCAAGCATCTCAGGGCACTGCCCACAGTGGGATGGTACCCTGACGAATGTCTAGCACATCCAGCATGGGTCCGGTGGGCCTGACCATTGGTGGGGCAGAGTTCCAGAACAGCGAGACATCCTGGCATCCATTCGGTTTAGGAAAAGACCTTTCATGACCAGCTGGTGGTCACCTCCATGCTCTTGAAATAGTCCAGCCTTGAGGTTTCTTCCCTGTGTGGTCTGTTCTGATGCATGGCCCCGCCAGCGCGAAACAGGATGACTTTGTTCTGTGGGCAACGCAGCTGTGAAAGAGGCAGCTGTGTGTGTCCAAGTCTGCGGGAAGAGAGAGCCCCCTAGAATGTCCCCGGTGAACCAGTCAGTGGAAGGCCTTCTGCAGGAGGCCTCCAACCGATCTCTGAATGCTACGGATCCTCCAGAGGCCTGGGACCCGGGGACCCTGCAGGCCCTCCAGATTTCTCTGGCCGTGGTCCTCGCCGTCATCACGCTGGCCACGGTCCTCTCCAACGCCTTCGTGCTCACCACCATCTTCCTCACCAGGAAGCTCCACACCCCGGCCAACTATCTCATCGGCTCGCTGGCCACGACGGACCTCCTGGTTTCCATCCTGGTCATGCCCATCAGCATCGCGTACACCATCACCCACACCTGGAGCTTCGGCCAGGTCCTGTGCGACATCTGGCTGTCCTCGGACATCACGTGCTGCACGGCCTCCATCCTGCACCTCTGCGTCATCGCCCTGGACCGGTACTGGGCCATCACCGACGCCCTGGAGTACAGTAAGCGCCGGACCGCCGGCCACGCGGCGGCCATGATCGCCGTGGTCTGGGCCATCTCCGTCTGCATCTCCATCCCGCCCCTCTTCTGGCGGCAGGCCAAAGCTCAGGAGGAGATGCTGGACTGCCAGGTGAACACCTCTCAGATCTCCTACACCATCTACTCCACGTGCGGGGCCTTCTACATCCCGTCCGTGCTGCTCATCATCCTCTACGGCCGCATCTACCTGGCCGCCCGGAGCCGCATCCTCAACCCGCCCTCCCTCTACGGGAAGCGCTTCACCACGGCCCAGCTCATCACGGGCTCGGCGGGGTCCTCCCTCTGCTCCCTCAACCCCAGCCTCCATGAGGCCCACTCCCACCTGGCCGGCTCGGCCCTCTTCTTCCAGCAGGTGAAGGTCAAGCTGGCAGACAGCGCGCTGGAGCGCAAGAGGATTTCGGCCGCTCGGGAGAGGAAGGCCACCAAGACCCTGGGGGTCATCCTGGGCGCCTTCATCGTCTGCTGGCTGCCCTTCTTCGTGGCGTCGCTCGTCCTCCCCATCTGCCGGGACGCCTGCTGGATCCCCCGAGCCCTCTTTGACTTCTTCACCTGGCTGGGCTACTTAAACTCGCTCATCAACCCGATCATCTATACCGTGTTCAACGAAGAGTTCCGGCAAGCGTTTCAGAAAGTGGTCCATTTCCGGAAAGCCTCCTAGTCCCTCCTGGTCCTGCCTGGTGGGGACTCTGGGGTTATCGTTTGTGTCCTATAACCCAACTGGAATTGTCCTTTTTTTATTTTTTATTTTCCCTGAGATTTGGGTTAATCCTGATATTTGGGGGTTTGGGGTCAATCAACAGAATTGTTGTGTGTTTTTTTTTATTTTTTTGTTTTTTTTATTTCTTATTCCTGTTGTCTTCTTGACTTCTAAGCCAACCCAAAGCTGGGAAAAGCTGAGTGAAAGGGGACAAAGACTGAAGATTTCACTCAGCCTAATATTTTCAGGGTTCATCCATGTCGGAGGAAACATGACCCACAGGGTTCCCCACGGATGCAATTCAGGCGGGAAACTGACTCTGTGGGAAGAGCCAGGCTCACAAGCACGGCTTTCTGGTCTACCAAAGTTTTTTTATGGACCTCAAAGGAGGGTGTTCATCCTCTGATTCCTTCTTAGACTGGATCTCTCCCATGTAAGGTGATATCAATGTGGAGTGACAGAGAGAGGTTCAGAGGCTGGGGGCAGTGGAGTGGAAAGATTGGAACCAAATCCACTATCTTGTACCCTTCCTCCTCCTCCAGTCTCTCTGCACCCTATTCATGTTCTGAGGTTAAAACCCACAATCACCCCCACTGAAGTAGATTGACAGGCTTTGGACCCACCAAGGTGTGAGTGGAACACCATTCTGATTCCCTCCCTCCCCTGAATTTTTACATGCCATTCTCATTAGAGATCTTAACATGTTGAGTCTTATCAAATAAAAAGCATGAGATATCATGATCAGTAAAATCTTTGAGTAATTTCCCCCCTCTCCCTGGATGTAGAAACCTGTCCGTTCAATTTTGTCTCCAGCATTTATTGAGCACCTACCACATGCCAGGCCTTGTGCCAGAGTCCTGGCATCTGTTATCTCACCGGAACCTCCTAACAATGAGAGTTGGTATAATACGATGATTAGAGCTAAGGACCTGATACCTCAGTGCAAATCCAGGTTCTACCAATTTCTAGCTGGGTAACCTTGCACAAGTTTCTTAATCCCTCTTTGCCTCACTTTCCTCAACTGTAAAATGGCAATAATAATCGGGATGTTATTGTATATTTTATTTATTTTTAAAGTTTATGATTATTGTTGAAAGTATTACAGACATCCCTTCCCCCCATTAACCCTCTACTCCCGACTTTCACCTCCTCCTCAGACCTTCACTGCACTATTGTCTGTGTCCATGGGTTATGCATATATGCATATACGCTCTTTGGTTAATCTCTTCCTGCCCTCTACCCTCCCTCTGAGAATCGTCAGTCTGTTGCATGATTCCATGTCTCTGGATCTATTTTGTTTGTCCGTTTATTTTGTTCATTAGATTCCACACATAAATGAGATCATGTGATATTTGTCTTTCTCTGACTGGCTTATTTCGCTTAGCGTAATACTCTCCAGATCCCTCCACATGTCTTAAAAGGTAAGAGATCCTTCTTTTTTACAGTTGCATAGTATTCCAATGTGTAAATATACCACAGCTTCTTTTATCCATTCAGCTACGGATGGGCACTTGGGCTGTTTCCAGACCTTAGCTGTTGTAAAGTGTGCTGCTATGAGCATAGGGGCACATATATTCTTTCTGATAGGGTCTATCACTATTACATTTCTTTTTATTGACAGGGAATATTTTCTTGTATGGCTATACCACATTTTATTTATTCATCCATCTGTTGATGGACTGTTGGGTTGTTTCCACTCTTTGGCTGTTATGACAATGCTGCTGTGAGCTTTCTTGCACAAGTTTTTGTGTGAACGTATGTTTTCATTCCTCTTGGGTCCATACTGAGGAGTGGAATTGCTGTATCCTATGGTAATCAACCCTTTTGAAAAACTGCCAGACTGTTTTCCTAGGTGACGGCACCATTTTATTTTATTTTATTTTATTTTTAATATATATATATTTTTTTTAATATATATTTTATTGATTTTACACAGAGAGGAATTGAGAGGGATAGAGAGTTAGAAACGTCGATGAGAGAGAAACATCAACCAGCCGCCTCCTGCACACCCCCCACCGGGGACGTGCCTATTTTTAATATATTTTACTGATTTTTTTTTACAGAGAGGAAGGGAGAGGGATAGAGAGCTAGAAACATCGATGAGAAACATCGACCAGCTGCCTCCTGCACATCCCCTACTGGGGATGTGCCTGCAACCAAGGTACATGCCCTTGACAGGAATTGAACCCGGGACCTTTCAGTCTGCAGACTGACGCTCTATCCACTGAGCCAAACCGGTTTTGGTGGCAGCACCATTTTACATTTCCATTCCAACCTGTGCACATCCTCAGCAGTATTCACTATTGCCTTTTTGATGAGAGGCTTCTAGTGGGTATGAAATAGTATCTGCCTGAGGCAGCTAACTTGCTTAAGGCCCAGAGAGTAATTATGTTCCGCTTTGCAGGTCATTTCATCTCTGTTGTAACTACTCAGCTCTGCCATTGCAGCGTGAAAGCCGCCATAGGCAACGTGTACACAAATGAGCTTGGCTGTGTTCCGATGACATTTTATTTACTAAGATAGCAGCTTGCAGGCCGTACTTCGCAGACTTCTGATCTAGAAGAGCATCCTCCACCCCCAACCTGCCTATCCATTCCCTACCCCTTTCTCTGGCTTTATTTTTTTTTAATTATTATTCTTATTACTGATGATGAAATACCTGTGTTAGTTCTTGCTTATTGTCTGTCTGCCACCTCTAGAGTGTCAATTTCTTCAAGGTGGGGATCTTACTTGTCAAGTTCACTGTTTGCTTCCCAACACGCCACAGTGCCTGGCACATAGTAGATGCTCAGTAAGTATTTGTTTGAATGAATGAGCAATGGAATGAATGGAACACCCTTTCTAGGCTTACAAATGACTTGTTCTCAATGTCTTTGTCTTTAAGATAAAGTGACTGGTCCTGGGGCTGGAATCTCACAAATCATGAGATTTGGTGTCAGGTGGGTCCTAAGTCAGACTCAGGGCCGTTCTGTCCTGAGTGTAGCTGAGACTAGAGAAAAGTGAGCAGGCTGGGTGACCCCAGTGTCCCCAAGAAGCCGAGTCTGGGACTGACCCCGAAGCGTGCACTCAGCCGCTGTCCTTCTGCTCACATACCCCTCCTCCATGTCTACTCAGTGACAAAGGATCGGGCAGCTTCGGAGAATGAGCAGCTGTTTCTGGTCTTCCTCGTTACAACCTGAAACCTGCCCATTTGGATACCATGCCCAGAGAACTGCCCACTAACTTGGCCACATGAAAGTCAAATTGAAAATAAACTTGTTTTTCAAAAACTTAAAAATAAGTAAACTTGTTTTCCCAGATCACCGAGGAAGGCTATATTCGGGGCCATCCTCTATGCCTCTCCCTCCCCCAACATCCTTGTCATGCTCCTAATTCTTTCACTCTTAGTCACAAACACACACAGCATGATGACGACGACGTGTGTATGGGGGAGGAGCAGGACAGGATTGTCTGGGACAGGATTCTGCTAATTTCTGGTATTTGCTGGTGTGGCAGACACGGCAGGGTGCCCACCTAGCAGTCATTCCAGTCCTTGCCCACAGAACCACGCCCCCACCCTGCCCGGCCTCCCACCAGTTCAAATGGCAGCATGCTCAGTCTCCCAGCAGGTGAATCCTGACTGGTTTAAAACAGTTGGGATACTCTTATTCTGGCCAATAGGGTGTAAGTAAGGAGACCATCAGGTTAAATCGCCAGGACTAAGGGGGTTCCCAGGACCTGGGAATTTCAGTTCTCATCAGAAAAATACCCAGCAGACCGGGACAAGTTGGTCATGCACGGTGTAAGGCAGTCAGCTGGGGCTTTGGGGAAAGAGACTTCTTACAGGAAAAGAGAGACAAACAGGGGCGAGGTAGGGGGGGGGGAGGGTAATGTTCTTCCTGCTTGGAAGCAGCCCTGTGACGATGGGGATGGGACGGAGGGCCGCTGTCCTGTGATCCTGCGGGGAAACACTGCAGATGTGAGAGGATGGCCGAGGGGGAAGAGCCAACCCAGTTTCTTAACCACAGGATGAGGCCCGGAGCAGCCCTGGGACCACCTGCCTCAGGTTTCTTGTTCAGTGAGCAACAGCCATTCTGACGGTTTAAGCCACTCACTGGATTCTTCTGTTACTTGCTGAGCACACCCCAACACACCAGAGGACACCTCTCTTGCTCCCTTGCCCTCCCACAGGTTGGTTGGTTGGTGGCAGGGTAGGGCAGCGTGAGGCACTGAAGGTTGGCACAGGCTTGGGGCCTTGGGTGGGGAAGTGGGGATAGCCAAAGGATAGTTCAATGGGACGAACAGTTGATGTTCGTTGGCTGCTTCGAGCCATCACCGGGGGATTTCCAAGGCTGCATGCGTGCCCCCTGAGGTCTGAGGTTCATTTGGCAGCAGAAGGAATGGCGGCTCAGAGAGGTTGACTCGTCATGTGCCATTTAACGGGGATACATTCTGAGTAATGTGTCATTGGGTGATGTTGTCGTTATACATACACAAACCTAGTTGGTCCAGTGGTGGGCAAACTCATTCGTCAACAGAGCCAAATATCAACAGTCCAACGATTGAAATTTCCTTTGAGAGCCGGAAACCGACTTCTGCGCATGGGCCACGAAGTTTCAATCGCACTGCATGTGCGTGCCCGCACGGGGTATTTTTGAGGAAGAGCCACACTCAAGGGGCCAAAGAGCCGCATGTGGCTCACGAGCCGCAGTTTGCCGACCACTGGTACAGCCCACTACAGTCTGGACCGTGTATAGAATCTGATGGGACCACTGTTGTCTATGTGGACCATGGTTGACTAAAAGGCCATGAAGCAGCCCACGGCTGTAGTTCGAATCTAGGTCTGTCCCATCCAAAGTGCATGCTCTTTCTCTTCACAGCAATGTCTTGGTTACATCACAGAGAAGAATGTACCTACCTCCTGGAACATTCTCCGTGACAGGGAGGTCAGTGCCCGTGAGACACCCAGTCCCTCTTCAGCC